AGGAACAGACAAGTATATCTTGATTTTAAACCTGAAAAAAAATGTGCTTGTCTCTTTTAAAATTATTTTTTATTCTTTCCAAAGAAAGGTGAGCTCTTCCATGTGTTCTATGACCTCTTTCAGGAGCTATGAAAAAAATGCTGTGCCCAAGAAAAGACTATGTGGTGTACCTTGTTTACCATTCAGCAGAATTCAGCTTCAGCCCCTCCTGTATTGACATGTTGAAGTACAGCCTGTAGGGTGGGTTTTTTTTCATGAGCTTAAGGAGTCTGTCCAAATACAGTAATATTATCCAGATAATACTAGATTCCAAGCTTGTTATTAAGAATTATTAGCATATTTGAAAAACTCTGAATGTTGATTCTGGGCCATATGGCATATGAACAAAAGAGAAAAGTCCATTACGTGTAAGAAACGCTGTGAACCTCATGCATTCTGAATGCTTGGTAATATGTGTTCTTTAAAGCAGGAGTAGAAAACATACTCTGCAGAAAATACAGCACTGTTTGTAAATGGCTAACAGTCCATCACAATGGCTTTTTTTGGCTTCCTTAGGTCCATAGAAAAACAAGTACTTCAGTTTGATTTTTGTCACCACTGCGCTGAAATTAATTCAGAAAATGCAGTGTCTTCATTAGCATCATTCGGGGCTATTTTTTAAATTATCTTGTGACTCAGCATCTCTCATTCAATTGTAGAAAATATAATTTCCATTGTAATAGCAGCACATTAGATTGAATTTTCATGCTGTGAATAAACCCTTCTGCACATCTGGTATTTCCATGTAATAGTTGATACTATTTCTTTTGTAACAGCTGAAACTGGAATTTGTGTTGCAGAAATGTTTGGTTGTACTGAAGCATTGCAGCCAGTATGAATGCGCGTACTTATTGCAGTTCACAGATTTCTACTTGGAAGGAGTATTATTGCACACAATAAAGAATTCAGCAATATGTATCAAAAGTCATTTTCACATGCAGGAAACAACAGTGTTGTTCTTCAGGTACTTTCACTAGATGTGTCAAATGCTGAACTTTTATAGCATTATAGGGAAATGCATTCACTGAATACTGAAATGCAGAAGCCAGTGGCCAGTATTATTTTAGTAGCCTATCTACATTATCCTGAAAGAAAAGGTAAGCACACACAAATGCATTCATAATAAATAACTGCTTCCATCCACAGTCAGTACAGTAACATCTGGCACTGTAATTTCACATAAATACTGCTTACGTAGAATTTAACGGTATATTTGAATCTAACATCTTCCTTCAATATTTATACAGAGTCACACTTGTCATACATACAAGCATGCATACAATTCCCTGAGATCATGGCTCTGAGATATGCCCTACGTATGCTGAGCTTTCAGCCATAGTTCTAGTGGTTGCAGCTTGAATGCTTACAGCATTCAGTTCACCACTTCTCACTCTTGATTTTGTGATTGTTAGTTCAGTTAGAGCAATGGTTACAATCTCCTTAGTGTCAGATCTAATTCAAGCAGTAAATACTATTTATAATCAATAGGAAATCCTTTCTTCTGTAAGCTCAATTTGACCTTTTTCTGCTGTGCTTCAAGTCTTAGTTAGACATGATTTTTCACACCCTCAAAGCAGCAGTGCACTGTGCTGTTGATTGCTTTGTTTCTAGTACGCTGGCAGTGTTTATAAAAATCAGCTACAACGTGTATTGCAGAAAGAATTCTTTCGTTGCAGTGGCATGGATTCATTTTCTTTTTTATCATGAGGAAAAAGCATGCAGAATGCACACTAGCTCTCTGCTCAGATACATCATACAGTGTAAATGGCTTTCTTTCTCCAGCAAGGTCAGGAACACTAAGTATGTGATTTCCAACAATTTGCATTTGAACAACCAAAGGAACTGAGGAGCACCTGGGCTTCTAGGAATGATGCAGATGAATTCAATAGCAGCACAGAAACTGGTCCCATTTCTGCAGTAGCTGAATAGAAAGGATGCAATACCATAACAACTATTACATGCATCCACAGAAATACCAGAAAGTGTGGTCCTGGTTACAGCAGACAAAAGCACAAACCAATCAAACCACTAAAAACCCCTAAGATTTAAAGGGTCCCTAAACTTCTCTTTACTTGAGAAATATCCTCCTCTGCCCAATACCACTGTTGCAAGCCCAAAGCTCTCTTCAGAAATGGGAAATTCAGTTCATGTTATGTATGTGAAGCAACCAGACCAACAGCCAGATCATCACCTATCTGCAAACGGGCAGGAAACTAACAGAAATGTTTATTTTAGCCATGTATAACGAGAGTGACTGATCAACCTCACTGTGCTGTTTTACTTTTGTTCTAGTTTCAACATTGAGAACAGTGACAGTATTTCAAAGGCAGCTTTATTGAAGTAGTTAACAACTAAAAACTTAGGCGTTAGCACGAGGGAGATGTGAATGAAGCCCATGTTATAAAGGAATAGGAAATTACTAACGGCGAGGAAATGCAAAAGGAAGGAAAAAAAAAAAAAAAAGTAGGGCAGAGATATAAAAGGCATAAAACAAAGAAACAAAGTGTTGACAAAGAAGTTACACTAATAGTGAGCATTTCCTTTCTAGACGTTACTAAGGTGACAAAAAATACTCAGTAAATAATAAAGTTAAGGAATACAGAGCTGTTCCTACAACTGAATGATTTTAAATGTTACACAAGCAAACTCAAGCCTGAAGCAGTCCAGCTTCAACATTTTTCTCTCAAACACTTCTGAGGCAATTCCAAATCCTCTGGTTGATTCTGGACAGCCTGGAATCAAAACAAAATCTAGATGCAACTGTTTTAATAGAATTTTGTTTTATTAATTATTTTCATTTGGGTGTGAAAACGTGTTACGAAATCTGGGAAGGTTCTGTGGCGATGAGCTACCTTCCACAGATCACATCCAGCTGTAAAAGACAGTGAAAAAGAACAGGACAATTGTGAGGTTGGAGCCCCACGCAATGCCAGAGCTCTGCAAGGGCAATCAGGCATCCACTGCTGCTTCCTCTAGGGCTGCTCTGTCCTTCTCTAGGTAAGACAACCTTAGTGTTGTGCTTCTTTGGACTGATTTGTTTGTTTGTTTTTCCAGTGAATTGTGCATTGGATGGGAAATTATAGTTTTACTACTATGGATGCCAGCAGACCAGCAGTGCTGCTGTGGAGGGATGAAGGAAGGCACGAGCACTGACCAGATGGACACACAAAGCCTAAAGAATTTGAAATTCATTTCAGTCTAAGTAAAAAACACCACAATGTTTCAGTGGTATTCCCCCAATAGTTTAACGGCTGGGGGAGGGGAGGAGATAGGGGAGAAGCCCCCACCGTAATATCCTGTAACTCAGGAAGGTGTGTTAAACCCACAGCTTTCCACGTTGTGGGCATCTTAATCCTAAGGCATCCAATAAAGGAGAACATCCTTCAGGCTTTTACCAACCCAGCTTTCACCAACTCCTTTGTTTATCCTGCAACAGAACGGAGGGTTTCTCCTCGCTCCGACAGGAGCCCCGCAGCCACCGGCTCCTCCTGAACCCACACCTCCTCGGCGGGGGCTCCCGTGTACAATTTCGACACGGCTAGAGGAACCGGGAGGACGCAGGCGGGAGCCCCGCAGGCACCCGCAGCCCGGGGCGGCCGCCCGCCCGGAACGCCCGGACCCACCGCCGAACCCCGAGCAGTGAGTAGGCGCCGGCGAGGAGATCGCGCAGCAGGGAAGGGCCGGGCCCCGATTTTCGGCTGCGCTGGGAGCGCAGCGAGTGGCGCCCGGCGGGCGGGCGGGCGGGCGGGGAAGGGGCCCCCGAGAAGAGCCGCGACGCAGGGCGCGGGACGGCGCCAACGGGTACCAAGCGACCCCGGCGACCCCGCCCCGGCAGCGCCCTTCGCGTCCCTGGGGAGACGCCCCGTCCGCCCGCCGCGCGGCACCACGGGAGTTGTAGTCCGGCCCCCTCCCCGCCGCCCCCGGCCCAGGGGGGGAGAGAGGCGCCGCGGCCGCTCTCGCGAGGCTTGGCGGCGGGCGCGCTCTGCTCTCGGGCGGCCTCCTCGCGAGGGCGGCCGCCGGCGGCGGGGGGACGTTTGGTGCGGGCGCCATTCCCCCGCGTGACGTCATAGTGCATTGTTGTGAGCGTAGCGGAGCATCCCTCAAGCTGTCAGCTGAGCCGCCGCGGCGGGGAGCCGAGCCGGCCCGGCCCCCCTCCTCCCCCGCCTCCGCCTCCGCCTCCTCCGCCCCCGCCCCTCCCGCCCCGGGGGCTCCGGCGTTCGGTGTCAACGTATCATTGTCCGTGCGGAACCCCTCCGGGCCCCCCCCTCCCCCCCCCTCCTCCCGTCCCCCCGGTCCGCCCTCCCCCCGCCCCCGCCCCCCCCCCGAACCACCTCAATGAGATGCAAACATGAAAGACAAGAGGAAGAAGAAGGACCGCACCTGGGCCGAGGCTGCCCGCCTGGTAGGTGCCGCGCAGCATTGTGTGTGCGCGTCTTGTGTGCGCGCCGCCCGCGTCCCGCCGCCGCTTTGTTGGCGGCCGTTGGGGCGTGGGAGGGAGCGCGAGAGGGCGGCAGTGCGTGTGCGACGGAGGAAGTGTGCAAGGGAGTGTGTGTGTGTGTGTGTGTGTGTGTGTGAGGGAGTGCGAGAAGGTGTGCGGAAGTGTGCGAAGGAGTGCGTGAGTCTGCGTGTGAGCGTGCAAAGGAGTGTGTGAGTGAGGGAGCGTGTGTGCGAGGGAGGAAGTGTGTAACGGAGCGTGTGTGTGTGTGTGGGAGTGCACGAAGGTGTGAGGGAGAGCGTGAGTGCACGGAGCTGCACGCGAGTGTGCGAAAGTGTGTGAGCGTGTAAAGGAGGAGGTGTGCGAGTGAGCGCGAGGGACGGGGAGCGCGTGTGAGGGAGTGTGCGGCCGCGAGGCGGTGTGTTCGGCCGCGGGGCTGCCGGTGGGGCTGCGAGGGCTCAAGGGAGGCATTGCCCGTGCCGGAGGCGGGCGGCAGCGGGTGCGCGGCTCCTGCCGGGCTGTGCGAGGCTGAGCCTGGCCCTCTGCTCTCCTCCTGTCCCCGTCTGGAGAGGAGAAATAGCAGCGTCCCTTCGGCAACGTGCGCGTGAGGAAATGCCTATTCTTTTCTTCTTTCGCGTCTGCGTGTGTGTGTAAATATCCAGGGGTTGTTTTTGTCTCTCTGAGTTCGCGCATCAGATATCCCAAGAATACCCCTCCGTTTAATTGCAGAGAAAAGTAAAACATCTGGGAATTGCTACTTCATCCCGTTAGCGTGAGCAGGAGGGCAGGGGAGAGGGGCAAGGACGTGACAGAGAACTCTCATCCCGGTTTCCCTCCACCCTCTCTACTTTCTCAATTGAGCCGGGAAATATCCAAGGCAATCAAACCCACGGGCGCTCTAGAGACCTGCTCAATTCCCACTTCATTAGGAAACCGTCTCCTCTTACCTACTGTATCTGTTTTCACGGTTCTGTATTACTGTTTGCTAAGTGTAATAGAATACACTGTTGATGTTGTTTTCAGTTTCCGAGTGTGTATGGTTTCTCTTCGTTCTAGGAATTTTACAACAATCTGTGCACAGTACAGCATGTGTGGTTGTACGTGTTTCTGTGTGTGTCTTCTGCAAACTTGTGTCTGGCTGAGCTTCAGTTCAGTGCCTAGAAAGATGACAGAGCAGGGAAGATACATCGCTGGTTATATTGCTTTTCTTTTTTTTTTTTTTTTTTTTCTTTAAAATCCATGTCAACTTTGTATTTTATCCATCTCTGATATAATTCCCTAAGTAACGTCTCTGTGGTTACGGTGCATCTATTTTTGGCGATGGATATTGATGTCGTATTTCTATTAGTTACACTCCACGAGACATTCCTTGTAAAAATGTTTCCACCTTGTATGAATTCCTACATAGGAAGTTCAGCCTTCCTCTCCTACGTAAATAATTACGAGGTGTTAGACAGACACTACCTATAGATGTCTCTGCGAGCTGTACATAGGTGTTCTCATGTGCTTGGTCAGTGCTAGATTCTGGTGTGGTTCATTCTGCATTGTACAACATTTCGCAGTATCTCAGCTTCAGCGGACGTATTCTGATACATTGTCACCTTTGCCTAGTTTCTCAGATTTGTAAGAGAAGTTTAACCACAGTAAAACAGTATTTGCTAAGTAGCGGTAGCAGTGGGTGTTGCTATAGCGCTTGTTTTTTCAAGCTTTAAACAGGCAGCTTGCATTTGAAAGTCTGTAAATTCAACCAAATGCTTTTCTAACTTTCCTCTTTCAAGTGGCTGCTGCAGTTGCTACTGTAAGCTGTCTTTTGTTTGACAAATGTACATAAAGGAATTTTAATGTGTATTTATTAAAATTGCTATTCCCATGTGGTCCAGTATGTGGAAAAGTTTAAGAGCCTCTGGAGAACAAAGGCTGAGCCTGTGCTGAGGAGGAGGACTTAAGACTCTCTCCTATTTTCGTGCTGTCCCATCAACTAACACTCCCCCCGAAGGGTCATTATTTGCTAAAATCCAGTAAAAATGATACTTTGCTGTGTGTAAGTGGTAGAGGTGTATGAGATCCTCTGTGTGGTTTTGTATAGGCTCCTGGGGTTTGCTGTGTTACAGAAAACTTGTCCCGAGTCTGTTATGTGAGCAGTGCATAGCGCTGCTCAGACTGGCCGTCGTCCTGCACAGAGCTTTGGCAGTACAGTGACATGCCTCTGCAAATCACAGTGAAAGATTGAAGCTAAAGTTGCCACTCCTTACAGTGTTTTATGTTAGGGCCCTGATGGTTCATTACAACTTTGCTTTCTTGGGATGCATCAATAATGTATTACTGCAAGGTTTGATTAAATCAATTTCTTTCCAACAGCAAGTAAACAATGAAGTGATTGATACCTGCTCACAGAAAATGACTCATGAGTTACCTGGATCAATATGATGTAAAGTTGTATAGTACTGCATTATTTTTAGAAACGAGATGGAATTAATATGGAGCAAATGTATGGAAATGTGTGTTATATTTTCTATAGAAACCCATAACGTTATTCTAATATTGAGCTTTCAAAACTAAGTGCTCAAACATATAAAAGGAGAAAGGTGATGCTGCTGGCATTGCTTTTTTGCTCTGTTGTGCATGTCCATCTATTGCAGTCTGGACTTAAAATGATGTACTTGTGCGCTTTCCTAGTACTTCAGATACACTCACAAGAGCTGCTGATTTTGTTCATTTTATTTAATTTGTTTGATGTGAGGTGCTGTGCTTCATTTTCTCTAAACTGTTCAAAGTCAATGCTAAAATATATTTTTCTCCTATGTTTCAGGCACCTACACGTAGTAGCAATGTCCAGTAGCTTCCCAAACACAAATGTTTCTGTGACATCTCTATAAAGTTAAGTATTTTGACTTCTGCTTTAGCCACACAGAGTTGAGGCATGGAAAGATTAAGTACCTTACTTGAAGCTGCACAGGAAATCTGTGGGAGAGGCAGTTATCATACCATCAGTGTCTCTGTAGTAGTCCTGCCTCTTAGTCAGAAAATCATCTTCCTTCTGTGGCTACACTTTTGCCTTATTCACTCTCTATTACTATTTCTCTCACAGTAATTATGAAAGAAATGGATATGGTCATGTCTCTATTCAATCTATATTGAAACTCATAATTCACCATGTAATAGCTGTCATGGATAAAAAGGAGTACAAAAACTGGACTCAAGCCTGAAATCGTTACACAGTTCTCCATTTCCCACATTCACAATGAAAGAAAGACTAGAATATATTCAGAAAAATATATTACATGACAGTCTTAAAATACATTGTAATGTGTAAGGCTAAGTGTTGAGCTCCACAATGGCAAGCAGTTGCATTTCTATTTCTTCTATTTGATTAAAAAGTCTTTGAAAACTCAAGTTTCTGCAGTGCAGGGCTTTTCCAAGATGCTTGATTTTTTTTTAAAACTGAAGCAGGAGGGGACTCCCATTATATTCAGCTCTTGTTGTAAATTCTGTATTTGTGATATAAGCAATAAAAAAGGGGCCGTTGGAATGCACTGTACTGGAACTTGCATTTTGGGGAAGAAGCCTCCTGCAGAGAGCTGAACCTTTTATGTGACACTCTGTGGTTTTGTTGTTGTTTTTTTTTTTTTTTTTTTTTCCTCATGCAAGCTTGCTTATCTTAGGGCAAGCATAACCCAGCTTACAAGCATTCCAGAGACATGAACGCATGTGCAGGATCAGTGGAATGGTGGCATACCACTGACAGTTCGTCTTACAGAACCCGTTTTGTACAACATGCATTTTTATGGACAAAATTGCAACCTGTCTTTGCAACCTGCCGAAGGGCAAAGCTTTGTTGTAGACCCTATATTGTCAACCCTCGGGTACTTGTAGAAAGCTCAGCAGTGTTTGTGCACAACCTGGGCGTTATCTCCACTCCATTTATTTATTTTGGTAGGTAGGTAGTTTTGTTGCTTTTTGTGTCAGGTAGACTAGGATGCTACGTTTAAAAGAACAAGACCAAAGGAAAACTTTTACAGGGAGGAGGACATCCTTCCTCTGTCTTTCTGTTGATCCCTGTGATTAAGTTGTTGTTATTTTCTAGTCATACGTGGATCTCACAAAAACTGAACAGCACCACGCACTTGACGAGTTCAAGCAATTTGAAATAATTCCAATCAGTTGAAAAAACTTCTGTTTAATTTTAGCTCTTCTTAAGCTCACAAGAGCTCTCAAAGTGTTCTGAAAGACTTCAGATACTGAACTGTCTCTCAACAGTTTAACCATGAGACTCAGTGTAAGAAATATCAAAATGAAAATTGCTGAGAACAAAGTGTGTCCTGGGATACTGTGTAGCAATAACCCGACTTGTATCATTCCTTTTGACTGCTGGACCTGCCTTGGTACTGTGAGCTAGAAAAGCAGAAGCCTGAACAAAATGAGTTCATGAATGCAGAGCTCAACGTATGTTTGAAGTGTTGGATATCTACAAAGGGTGGTAGTAACATTTTATGGTAACATTTAAAAAGGATTTGTTTTATGCATAGCTTGTCCTTATTATTGCTTTCTTATCTTATCTTTCCCATACGTGGCATTTTGAAACCCTACACTTAAGTTACAACCACTATTTAATAATCACATAGAAGAAAAACCAAACAGTGAGAACTGTAGCATTTGTTGGGTTATTCATGTCTTGCTTGCTCCGTTTCTTCTCCAGTGTTTTTGCTTTCTCTTTTCTGAATTTTGTTCTGAAAGACAGGTTTTCTTATGTTACGTGAGCTTGTATGTACTTTATTGGTGCTATAGAGCACTCTCGTGATTCAGCTGATGTGTGGATGTTGGGTGAGTAATATTCATGCCTTAATTCTTGAATTTTTTGTACTAGTCTCCTGACAGGATCCAGCTTTTAATTAACAGTTGTTCTGTTGCTGGTGTAAACTTTAGGAAAATTATGCTAATTAATTAAGCAATGGATGCTGGGGAAAACAAAACAAACAAACAAAAAAAGGCATGAAAAAAAAACAACAAAAGCCCACTGGAGTTGTTAGTTTATGTGTTACTGTTTAATGTGACTGGCTGTCCAAAAGCTGATTGAGCTTCATCTGCTCTGCTAAGATAGTGGAGTTGAAATAGATTGTTAATGCTATGGAACTATTTTAGCATTATGTCTTCATATTTGAAGACCACAGCTGAAACAAAAAAAATTGGTCTGTGTAGCTGGACCATTGATGATAATCCCTTTGACTTTTATCTTAAGTCTTCGTTTTTGTTGCTATAAATACATTTTAAAGCATTGACAAAGGAGCTTCATGTATCTCTAAAAATAGGAGATTTGACATGACTTTGTTTTACAGTATTAAGGATTTCTTTGTTGTTGGCTTAACACAGACTTGCTATTATTTTCTGTATTTGTTCTAATTCTTTTTCAGACATGCAGAAACATTGTAGCTCGGGAAGTTTTAATGGCCTTTCCCTTTGATCCCCAATCAATGCTTTTTTTGAAGAGCTATATTTTATTTTGGTTTGCTCTAGGGTTTTATCCAGTTAGTTTTATTCAAAGTGATTTTTGCACTTGTTAGACAAGGTGGGTCCAAATCTCTTTCTTTACCTCCTGTGGTTGTGTTT